GGCATTAAATTCTTGCCTTGTTTAGAACTAAATAACTGTCAAATATTATGGTTTTGTTCTGTTTTCAGAAGTATTTGATTTGGGACATCTCAAACAACATATTTTACTCTTGACATTGCTCATGTGTTGACAGCTTGGATGTGCTCCTGTTTACTTTCTGATTAGATCAAAATAAAAATATGTGCAGCTAGACCTGTTTTAATCACTCTGAAGGTATGCCAAGGCTCTTCCTCTTGGTGTCTGCTTTTCCATAAGCCAGTTTTAGAATGTAAGAGTTACTCTTCACAACCCATTTATTTTTCATCAGACTGAAATGTTAAGGTACCTGATAAATTTGTGGTTTTCCCCAGTGTTGTTAAGTGCTGTGGAATTTTTATTTAAAGCTCTGTTCCCCGAGCCCACTTTTTCTAGCAGCACAGCTTTGCATACAGCTCAGTGTGCCTTTTCCCTTTCCTTCACCTCACAGATTCCATGGATTATATCCTCTGTGGCTAAACCCTTCCCTTGTAGGCGTAATCCTTGCTTCCACCTCTGCTCTCTTGCAGCTCAGATGTCTTCTGGTGTTTTCACAGAACTTGTGATCAGTCTCTCAAAATTTCATATATAACCATAGCACTTCATTTGTGCTTTCCTGGGTTTTTTGTTGTCATTTTGTGGGCTCCCAAATTCTGTTGGAATGGTTTCACTGTTAGTGTTTTCCCAAGAAAGCTGTTGCTCACAGTAATAAGACAGATCCCTTTCCTGGGCACTGAATAGTGTGTGTTGCTGTCTTTTTATTTCTGATATAATGCCTTCAGAAATGCTTAGCATAGAGTTATAGGATTTTAATAGAAGAATAGGGAAGTCTGCTTTGTGAAGATGGGCAGTTTTATTTCCAATTACATTATCATGATGATGTTCCCATTGTTGCAGTCACACAGGCAGTGCCATTTCAACGTCTGAATCGTGCCCTGGATCCATCCTAAAAGTGACTGTGCCATTCTTTACCTTTACCGGGAAATGTAAAATTTGTTTGCATTTTTTAAAGAAACACTGAAATTTCCACCAGCAGGATGCCCTTTAAGTTTCGGTTTTTTAGAATGAAGTGATGAAAGGATTCAGTTACAATTAAATGTTCTTTGCTATTTAAAGAGAGAACAATATTCTTTCGCAAGCATGACACGAACGTGGTTTATCTGCTTCATGCTGTGTCTGCAGCATCAGCAGCCACTGTCAGAGACTTAGGAAATTACAAGGACTTTAGCTGAAAATATCAGCCATTAGCAAGCTGCTGACCTTTGTTATGAGTATCTGGCTCAGTTCTCAGTTCTCCCCAAACCTTGTTACAAAAACTCCAAATAGCTCAGTGCCTCTTACAGGTGGTCCGATATTTCCCATGCTCAAGGTGGGATCTAAGGTTTTGCCCTCCCCATTTGCAAGGAGGTGGTTGAAACATTGCAGCAGTAGTAGCAGTTCAGTGCCAGGTTGCTGATATGCCCAGGAGGAATTGTCTCACCTGTCCTTCTCCCTGAGCATTGACCAAACAGCTGCTTGTGTTGTTCACAAGCTCAAGGAAAAATAAAACCACCACCTGTTTGGCAGTTGCACTTTACCAGGCCGCCGTTCCCTACGACCTCCAAGGGACTGTAGTTGGAAGGAAGCTGCTCTTTGAGCCATGCCTGTCTTTAGCTTGGTATCCTGGACATAGCTGTCCATAACTTGAGTTTCAGACAAACAGTTGGTAGTCAAGAATCACCAAAAAAAAAAGCCAAACAACAAAGCCACCACAAATATTTGCTTGTGATGAGACTAGTAACTTTTCTTTGAGATGACTTTCTGTTGACTTTCTAAGCATGGTCTTTTAGAATTGCTAGGAGATATGGACAGGTTAGTGAGAGAGCAAAGCAGTTTCCTTAGGGACTCTACAGGAAACTTCTGGATGTTGCTGTTTTTCCCATATTCTTGTTTTTAGTGTCTTCTCAGCTTTTTAAGTTCTTCTGTCTTCTCCTCTCACTATGTAACGTTACAGAGATTTAATGATTAATCACAACTTCATCCCTTTTCATACACAGAGTTGTATAACTATCTTAATTAAACATGCACAGGGTAAAATTGCAAACTAGAAAGAGCTGCCTGGGCTTGGATGATAGCAATTAAATGATTTATACTTACAGGCATCAATATTTATCTTATGCCTACTGTCTGTCCTAGCTTGTCATCTATGGTTCAGTGTGTAGTTCATTGGCTTTAGTTAGCATTCCAGCTTCTTTTCTCTGGACACTGTGTTCTTGGCTGAGGAGAATATTGCTTTTCGTAAGATTATGAAGTAAGACCATATTCTAAGTTTCACAAACAGTCTTTCTGTCTTCACCTGAGGATTTTTTTTCTGCTAAACTTTCAGAAACACCAGGTTTCAAGGTGCTTAAAATAAATGAGTCACTGTCTCCTCCTGCCCCCGATTGTTCTCAAACATGAAGCTCTTGCTAAAATTATTTAGGGTGATGCCCCTGACAAAAATACAGATGAACCAAGTCCCAGTTTCCACTGAGCTTCAGTATGTTAAACAGGCACAATTTATTTTTCTTTTCTGCAGTTCTCCTTGGCTTTTGCGAGGTCAGAAGCAGCAGTAGCACTTTGGCTGTTCCCAGTTGAGTCATTTGGAATGCAAATCACTTTGCAGTGATGCCAGAGGTTCCCATTGTGCTGGGCTTTATATAAAACGCGTGACAGATTGTCAGCTTTGTCACATTCCCTGGGCAGCAGGGAATAGGTAGAGGCTTCAGCTTTGGATTCAGATAGAACTGGACTAGTATCAGAAGATCTTAGTCATCTTTGCTCTGCAGATAACTATAAATCATGTTAGAATATTTTTACATTGAGCGCTTCTGCCTGATATTTGGATATTAACATAATTCCCTGGTGCAAATAAATTCCTGCTGGGGAGGCGTAGCAGAACAGTCCCCCCCCAGCCTTCCCTGCTTTTCCTCAGTGTCTGAACTAGATATGAAGAATGGAAGTGAAGTCTGGGGAAAATATCAAGCAGTATAAATTACCTGCTCTTGGTTGATCCTGCACTGTCAGAGCTGCAGGGATTTGAAGTTGCAGGAGCACAACATGCAGTATGTACATACAGAATCTTGCAGGAAAGTTGTCTCTTTTCCTGTAAAAATGTGCTACAAGTCTGGGCAGGGACCGTCTTCCCAACTGGACAAATGGGAATCTGAGTAAATTTCCATGAAAATAAAGTAAGTGGTGGATTTTTACTCTGAGCTTTGCTGCCTATTAAATATCTTTGTTACTTTGCATGAAACCAGACTTGGTACTGAAGTGTCTATGGAGAGCTGGACTAAAGTTGATCTTGTGTGAATCTGTGCTGTGCTAGAGATTAAATACATTGTATCCATAAATTGTGCTGGATTTTGGTTTTGGCTATTCAAAACTTTTGAGTTACCATGACACTTGTTTTAAAAATATTCAGAAGGAATACACTGAACTTTCTTTTCCTACTTAGACCCATGTAGTAGGATGAGGCCTGAATGTCTTTTTCATTTCAATTTTGAAATTTCTTGAGGAAAACAATTTGAGGGCTGTGGAATGTCTTCAATTTTTGTGCAAATCCTAATTTCTGAAATTACCAGCTTTGATTCTTTTGAGTAGTTGTGTCGGCACAACATCAGTGAACTTACTCTGAAAACTGATGATGGTGACTGTAAAAGTTACTATTTGGCATGGTGAATGGAAAGAGTAATGAGATAACATTTAACACTGTTGCACAACTCAATATTAAGTCCCCACTTTGGAAAATTATGTAGCTGAGTTATTGTGCCCTGGGTTTTAAAAATGCTGCTCTTTTGGCTCATTTTGTGGATACAGTAGCTTCTTAAAAATTAGTTTTTGATTAAAAGACTTTGAACAAATGCCTTGTGTTAAAATAGGACCTCATGTTCTCTACTGTCACAGTAGGTCCTCTATAACTTAAATCCACTCTAAATCCAGAATCTTGGTTCTGAAGTCGCCTTGTACAGCTCCTCTCTGAGAGAATGTGAATTGGAGCAAACAGATGGAGCAAGCAGATGAGCAGACTTCACAAGCATTTTGAAAATAGGTCTTGAAAGGGTTTTTAGTATAGGAAGCAAATAAATCTGGATGAATAAGAAAGACACTTGTAAGGGTTTTTTCTTTCTGCTTTGGTTTTTCTGAAACTTATCTTTCTTTGAACTTAGGTCAGAATTATCCTGAGTTCAAGATTCTCTTTTTTTTTTTTTTTTAAATTGCCTTAAAATATAGGAGCACTCTCTGGTCTACAGGTGATTTTGTTCTTTTTCAGCAAATCTTGTGGTTCTCTTATTATCCTTGTACCAATAATTTTCCCTTTGGGGACAGGAAGTAGTCTAGAGGCAAGACACTATGAAAACAGATGGGCTCCACATTCAAAATGGAGCTGATGGAGCTGACAGCCTCTTTGCGATCTTATCAAGCGTGTCTTTGTATGGGAGATAAAATCAGCACTCACATTTCTGCCAAGTTTTTCCATTTCTTTTTTATTTTGCGGCCACATAAGCACACAGGGGAGCTTGCATAACTCCCCACAGCAACATCCACAGCACTGGGTATGCTGAGACCACTCCAGCAATATTCTCATACTCTCACTCATCTTCGAAATGTTTTTCTGAGAGTTGCCTGTTTAGGTATCCATGGCTTCAAATATGGAACAAATGTACTCTTGAAAGCTGGTTCAGACTGCACACAGTAATTACAATGTGGGAAGTACTGTGTAACCAGCAGAGATCTGTTACTGTGTGTGGAGCTGCAGACAGTTTGCATGTTAATGCCCTGATCTGAAAATCTGGGTTTGAAGGACAAGCCAGGAGTTTGAGTGGCCAGTAGCATGTTCCATGTGCCATGGATGCCTTAGATTAAAATCTCTTGAGTTGTCAAGTGGCTTTGCATTTGGAAAATCTTTTGAGTAGCATGCCAGGTTAATTTTAAATGTAAATTAAATATTTTTCCCTTTTTTATAGGAACTGGAGACATTGTTGCTGTGATGATTACAGAATCGAAGGTTAAGGAGATCCTGAATTACTTGGAAAAGAATATCTCTGTCCTGATGGGAATAGCAGTGGGGTCCCGTGTTCCTCCGAAAAACTTCAGTCGGGGCTCTCTAGTCTTTGTGTCAATATCATTCATTGTTTTGATGATAATTTCTTCAGCATGGTTAATATTTTACTTCATCCAGAAGATCAGGTACACAAGTGCACGTGACAGAAATCAGGTAAGGGGTCTCCTTTTTTTTCCCTAAGTTTGGAGGGGATATTTCTGTATACAATAGTCAATGGGGAACAAATAGTTTCTAAGGAATGTCCCATCAAACTAGTGTTCAGAGCCTCTTTGTTCCAAGGCAGAGCATTTTGCCAGACAAGGATTTTTATATAGCAGTGTTTTCATACTGAGAAGCACCAGTATAAGATCTTCTTATGTGACAGGAAAGAATAGAACTGAAACAAAATATTTGGGGTTTGGTGAGTATAAGTCCATGAGTAAGATAGATTCTATGCTGGCTGAGTAATACATACTGTATGTATGTTGGGAATGGGGAGGAAAGTTAAATTGTGAATGAAATTAGGGGAACACAGAGCTAATGTTATGAATTCTGTCTATATTCTTAAGGATACCTTCAGTAACAGTTAAGGGAATTCAAAAGTTGTATAAAAATATTTCCAAGCTGTAATCTGTCATGAATGTTAGGGTAAGAAAGCTGAGGTGTAGAGCTGCTTAGTGATCTGTGTTAACTTTCAAGTTTACTTAAGATCACACTTGGTATGGAGTGCCTAATTCTCCCATTCATATATTTTAACAAAAATTTTGTCCAATGTACCTTTCTTACATTCTTTTTCAACTCTTAATTTAAGAACTGAGTTATGTACGACCATACTCAGAGATCTTGACTAAATCAAGTTGTCAACTCAAATACAGCTTAAACTTTAGAAGTAAATGTTTTACTAGTGTGGACTTAATGACCCACTGCCTCCATAGTCTGTCTCGGCTTTTATTGAGGAGGGTCCATAAACCTTGAGAAATCCACTGTGCTCTCTTTGCTATATCTCTCTGTCAAGGCTAACTTAGGAAGCTGCTGACCTCTAGCCACTGCTCCCCCTTTCCCCCAAATTATGGCTCATACACAGCACCTCACTGTGAGGCTGGTGTTCTGTCAGACCCAAAACAAATGCAAACTTACAAAGCCTCGGTTGTGGCACAGGATTTCCTTTTCAGTTACTATAAATAGTGTCTGATGCTGCAGGTCCCATGGGCATCCTGTAGCTTTTCCTAAGGATGTCATTCTTAAATGACCACACTGTAGCCAGTATTTAGTGTGGTCCCTTGGGATGGTGAAAGTTTAAATATAACTGTAACTTAATGAATGTCTGTGGAATACTAAATTGTGCCTTCTCTATCCCCTACATGGCTCTAGGCTTCTTCCAAATGTCCACGTTTCAAAACAGTTGCTCCATGGGGAAAGAGCTCTTATGACCTTTTTTCTTTCTTTAGATTTTTACAAAGGTCAAGAGAAACTTGATGAAAATTTGATGTGGTTTAAAAAGCTGAGCTTATTAAACTTTAATAAGAAGGTGGCGACAGCTACAGCTTAGTTTTAAAGCGCTTTGAGAGCTTTCACAAAGGCTGTACTGTTAGTGATGAAATAACTTGGTTTAGGCTATGATCTTGTTTTTAAGTTATGTCAAGGCATGCATTTTTACTTTTTTTTTTAATCAAAGCCATCAAAAACATGCTGTGTTTTGTAGATAGCAGGAGTAGATACGGTCTTTCCCATCGTTACTGTTGCACACTTCCTCCGGAGGTGTGAAACTCTGTTGCCTGTGGTAGTGGCCTTTTCCATCCAGACACTTCTGGGTTTCAAAGGCAAGCATGTGCTGAGTGCCTGTGCCCTGACTTTAGCAAAACAGCAAATCCTGAGCATTTCCAGTGTTAGCAGTATTTGTTAAAATTAGAAAATGGAAGAGATTGACCTCTTAAATGGAAGAGATGAAAGTTATTATTTAGCAAATTTATTTACCTAAGGGAACTTGAATATACTGGAAGAATTCTGCTGGAATATTATGCTTCCAATAGGGAAATAATCTCTTTAAGATTTCTTGTAGTGCATATACAATCACATGCAGTAGAACGAAATGTAAATACTACCCACAATTACTTAGTTGGTAGTGTTGAGCATTTAAGTTAAATACCTTTTCAGCCTCATTCCTCTCTTAGTAATCACACTTTTGGTTATGCAATGGTTATCAGCTCCAGCAATGTGCCAGTGTGTTCTGTGTCATTAAGTACTCAGGCCAATATGCTTGTTCCAGGGCATATAATTTAGATTTGCTTAAATTGACCAGTTTCTCACATATTGAAGTCAGGGTGAGATTCCTGACTTTAGGAGGCATATAATTTCCCCAGCCTGGCTCTGATTCTGATGCTGCGTTTCCTCTTTGGATATAATTCACTAGCTGGGATTGAGTATCTGATTTTTTCAAAACCGTGCTCTAAAAAATTTAAAATAAGAGCTGCTGTTCTGTGAAAACAACAAGGAAAAAAAAAAAGCACTTATGCAATGCTAGAATAAGTGGTACAGTTGGTTGTGGTAGACTTCTGAGGCTGTGTTTCTCAAGTAAAAGCAACTTTCGGTTTGTATGCAGGAAAATGTGTGATGCAGGGGGTACACCTTGTGAAGGATTTGGGTTTCAACTTCGTAGAGGGTGGGCACAAAACCTCCACACATTTGTTGGAGGCTGCAATGAGAGGTTTTGATATTCTCAGAAGCAGCAGCTTGAATTCTCAGAAGCAGCCCTTTCAAATGCAGAATACAGGATGGAGGGGAAGGAGGAAATACATGAACTTCCCTTTTTCCAGTCAGTGTAAACCAAGCCTGATGTCTCATGTTCCTGAAGGGAGGCGACAAGATCTTTGTTCCTCTTGGTGCCACATCTCTGGGATCCCAGGGACCAGCTGGCAAACAGTTCTCTGTTGGCTGGGAACTGGGCATCACAGTAGGAATCAGCACCTGAATTGCAGAAATGGCTCCTTCCATCCAACAGCAGTGGTCATAAAGCAGCATAAACAGCAAAAAAATAGCCTGGCCTCTGCATTCAGATTGAGGTTATCTTCAAACCAGTATTAATTTCAGCTTTATTTAAGTCTGTACTGGCTTATTTAGATTTCATGACCCATATTTTTTTCTTTTATGAGATCCTGGTGGTTTCGGGTAATAGCGAGAGCAAAACTAGGTTACACTGAGAGGATCTCTTGCATCTCAGAATAAAATCAGCCTGCTCGGTGGGGAAATATAAAAATAATTCAAGCTTAAGAGAACAGGCAGTATATTACAGCACACTGAATAAAAACCCAATATCAGCAGAATATAACAGAAATCATCAGGAGGGCACGTTCCTTCAGCTTTTTATCCTGCAACCCAGATTTGATTAGTTTTGCACACAAATGTTGGGTCACTTCTATGGACTTCTGTACAGCCCATGAGGTTTGTGCCCATGGAAGTGCCTTTGGGGTTTCAACTGTTGAGGTTTTTTTCCTTCTTGACAAATCTCTGTGCTTTGCTGTGTGTGCATTTTGTCTTATGTGCTGGCCTGCTGCCACAGTGTGTATTGCAATGGTATTACTGAGCCCAAATAAGTCATTATAAAGGACACTAATGAAGCTTGTTTAACAGGGTTAATTTGTGTTCTCTTCTTTGTCACTTTATTAGCGTCGTCTTGGAGATGCTGCCAAGAAAGCCATTGGTAAATTGACAACCAGGACAGTAAAGAAAGGTGATAAGGTATAATAATAAGATTTCAACACAATAAACTTTAGCATCATGTTTCATTCTTGCTGGGGAAACAATCTCAGTTTTTTCTTTCTGCTTCTGATTTATGGCCTTGCCTTCCTTGTCGGAGGCTGACTTTGTCCTGTGGCACAGTATTTTGTATAACTTAGTATATGTTCAATGTATCCTGTAAGTTTGTAAGCACAAAATAAGATTTTTGTGCTTAAATGCTACTTGCACTCCATCTGGCAGCTGTGACTGAGGGTGGTTTTGCGTGCTGGCTGGAGGGGGTGGGGTGCTGGCATGAGTACATGGGGTTAGCATTGTTTGTGTGGAATTCTGTAGGCTTAGAGTCATTCCATATGTAAGTTGTATAAAGTAAAAATAAATTTACAAGACAGATAATAGAAGAGAATCTCTTATGTAAAATACAAATAACCAGTAAGCTGAGGGAAGCATAAACAGGTATTTCATGAAAGATAGTAAATGTTACTCCAAGAATATTTCTTGCCAGTATACAAACTAAAATGTATGTCTTAAGTCCTAAATGTTTCCCATTTTTATGAGCAGTACTGCTTTGTCTTTGATTCTGAAAGCAAAAAATAGTAACTTAATCTTGCTTAATTTTTGATCTTTAATTTTGAAAGAAACAAAACTCCCATATATTTGTTGGAGGCTGCATGGGAGGTTTTTGATTTGATTTTTAAAATATTATTTCCTTGAGCTTTCTTATTGTGATTCCTTTTTATCTTTCTTATCAACACGCTCAGCAGTGGAAGATTAGGAAGTGACAGGAAAATTTGCTTCCAGAGAGAAGGCAGAAAAAGTATCTTTCTATTCTTCCTCCCTCTCTAAATAGTTTTATTTCAATACAACCTGTTGCACTAAATCTTTTCTGTGGGTATGGAAAAACATATGGATAAGGAGAACTTTTCTTGGTTAAAAGATGCTGTTGTCTTGACATAAATTCAAAAGTGGCAAGTGATATGTAGGTTGCAGTGCAGACAGCACATGCAGGTGAACAGAGTAGGAAAAACCTGTCCTTTCCAAAAGCAGCCATTGGGATTTACTGTGTGCATCCCTGACTGGTGCTGACCAGCAGTGCCTTGGTCTTGCTGTGGTCCCTGACTTGGTGTCTTGCTTGTAGCTTGTTGGCACTGAAAAGTATAATGAAGTTGAACTAAGAGAAGGCACAGCCTGTTTTGTGTCACAGGCCCAAAGATTAAAAATATGTATTGCTGATGCCATAACTACATCCAAATGAAGTCACCCCTTTTCAGTTGAAATTTTAAATTCTCATATTTAAAAATATAATTTTTTAAAAGTCATAAATTCTGGGAGAAAAAAGGAGAGGAGCCAGTCAGTAAGTGATCCTCATATTCATGTCTGGACAAGAATGATGATAATTCTGCAAGTAAGCTGCAGACACAAATGTGGGACTACTCTGCAATATGTAAAATGTGCTAGTTCTGGCTATAAAAGTGTATTACAGGATTTTTATCCTGCCAAAACAAAGAAACGAACAAAAAACCCTTAATAAAATAGAAGTTTTAGCTCCAAGTTGGAAGTCAAAAAGGAAATCTAGGAAAATCACTGCTGTATATTGATGTCACTGAACATTAGAATCATCTTAGGCCTTAGCTAATGTTTCAAATGATCATTTACCAGCTCTGGATGAGGGGAGAGTTTTGTGTAAATGAGATGCTTTTCTTGCTCAAGTCATGTTGGAATATAACAACCCAGTCATTGGTTTTGTATCTTAGTAGCAGCCACTTGGCACAATGCAGTTCATTTACCAGTCACAACTACTTTGACATTTGTCATAGGCTGAACTCTTGACTTGAATTTTCATTCTATTCATTTTAGGAAACAGACCCAGACTTTGATCATTGTGCTGTCTGCATTGAGAGTTACAAGCAGAACGATGTTGTTCGCATTTTGCCATGCAAGTAAGATAGTCAAAGTTGCTTTGTTTGGAAACTTTTCTCTTGGTGCTCCTTTGCTTCATTTCATGTAATGGGTGCATTGTAATTTACAAACACATTTGTTGGATGTTTCCACTCCTAATAACACTTTGGTTAAGACTGTGATGCCAGAAGGTGTGAAGGTGGGTGCTGGCACTGCTATGATTGTGGACATTAAACAGAATGATATTGAAGATGGGCAATTTGGGCACATTGGCAGTGGAACTGTTGAGGTTGCAGCGAGGTGGGGGTGCAGGTTTAAGGACCAAGTGGTGGGCAGACTCAAAAAACTTCAGTATAATGACCGAGGTACAGCTGCAGCATTTTGCACAGTAGATGTGCAACACTGGCTGCTGGTTTCTCAAACTGTAGAGAATGGGAATGCAGCCTTTGCAACCTTCATACCTCCTCTGTCATCAGTCAACCACTGTGCTGTCATCTGTCTTTGGTCTCTCCAGTGCAGTGTGATCTTGGCTTTTGCCTGAAGATTTGTACTTGTTGATTATTCTGCATTAGTTCTTAAAATATCACAACTTTCTCCTCCTTTTATGACATTCTCTTGACAGGTTTTTACAGGTTTTCAGTTTGTTTCCGTTCCATTCTTGAGTTGTTTTGGGATATTTGCTCTTTGAGAGATGCTTTTAAATACTTTTCCACCTGGTGATTGATTTTGATGAACCGGTACATTTTGGTAGCCTTAAGCATTACCAAGGACATCTTTCCCTTGTATTCTGAAATGCAAAGCTTTCTCCTTATCTCCAGGCATAAAAGCCACGTGTAAGTTATGTTCTATATATGCAGCAAGATCCAGTAATTTGGCCTGTGCTTGGTATATAAATGGTTCTGCATGATAGTCTAGAACCAACAAAGTCATGTGTTGGAGTCGATCTTCAGTCAGGCAGCAGCACATAAGAGCTCATTATTGGTCTCCTAAATCCTCCTGCAGGCTGTTCTGAATAGCTGGAATGTTTGTCTTCCAATGCTTCATGTATTTCTATCATCATGAAAGGAAATATCTTACTGATCAAAATATGTGTATGTTCTACTTCTGAAGCCAAAAGCCTAATTCAGTTTTCAGTTTGCTTTTCTCTATGTTCTTTACCTCTTGGACGGTGGGAAACAATGACCTGGATTAGATTTTCAATGTTGTTTTTGTTAATATACCCTACAAATGATTGTTCAGAAACTCTCATCAAAATATTTGGGAATAGAAGAGCTTGGTCTTAAATTGTGAAGATTTGGGAGCTTTTGGTCATGTGGATGTGTTGGCATTTTGTTTTTACAATTCAGTCATTTTTACTCAAGATGATGTGCTCTTGCCCTAACAAATGTACTCCCAAGTGTTAAGTAATTCCAGAGAGTTACATCATTTATTGTAATCTCAAGTGAATCTTGTATATGTGAATGAAGCCCTGGTCTTTGATGTTATGCAGAAGATTATTTAGAAATCAGGGGAGGAACTTCTGGAAACTGCACACCAGCTTTGGACTACTAAGATGATTGTGTGATTAAACTACCTCCTAAGAAAGCTTCACTTGTGTAGTTCAGGGTGGTGCTGTGAGGTTCAGTGATGTGGAATGAAAGTTCTCAAGTCCCACTCCTCTGTGCCTTTCTCTTGGTGCTGAACAGAGGGCAGGGGTAGGTCCTTTCCACTGAAAAGAGAATGAGTCTTCTCCTGGTAGAAAAATCATCTTCTCCCACTGAGCACAAGGCAGAGTTGGGATTAAAAGCCAACTTCCTTAGTTAAACAACTGCCCTTGTCCAAGGGGTGTGTTGCTGGTGTCCAGAGATAAGATACAGACCATTTAAATAAGGTGATCATTGGTTTTGGGTTTTTTTTCAATTAAAAAAAAAAAGTAGAAAAAGTCCTTTTCCTTCAGACACCCTCAGGGAGCTGCAGTCCTGCAGGCAGGAAGCTCCCTGCCCTCAGGGGTAGTTACAGCTGCTTCAGGGAGCCAGATGAAGGTGCACCTGGTTGCCACCTCAGCACAACCTGCCCCAGTGCAGTCTCCCATGTAAAGGAGAGATCAAGGCTCTTGTGCAGATCCCTTTCTGTTCTGCTTTTCACAAGAACGTGAGGTCAGTGAAGGCTCAGGTTACGTTCCTGCCGAAGGCTGTATGACAACTTTTATGTTCACTTTCTACTCCTTTTTTAAATCTCACTTTTCATGTGCTGCAGCTCAGCTTTAAGTTGAATGCAAAGCCATCTAGGCTAGGCACAAACAGCGAGATGGATGCTTTCCACAAGACATTTTTCTATTTGTAGATGAAAAGCCAACTAGTACGTGCAGAGATGAGCCCATAAATTTCAGATTCTGTGTAAGATTTTTCAGTCTTCAGCACCTGAGACACTTCTCCCAAAATCTTGTTTTGGAGGTTTAATCCCTTTCTCCTCCCTCATACTTCACCCTCCAATTTATTGCAACGTGCAATGTTAGTTTAGAAATAAAACAAACCAGCAGACAGGCAATGAAAGAAAACTACGAGAGTCCCTTAAGCCAGATGAGAAGATAAATTGTAAGAAAACCATGGAGAAAATGACTCAACCAAGAGGAAGAAATGAAAGGCTGGACATTTTTCATACTGTGCCTGTTGAGGAAGCTATAATCATTAGACAGTAGGAATCACTGACATGTGACATCCTTCCTGCTTTCATCAATTTAAAAGTAGCCTTTCCCTTTGGTACCACAATTGTTCTCTGCAGTTAGGTGTGGTCTGTCACTCTGTCCCTCAGTAGAGGAGTCTGGTCTGGACAGACACAGCAGGCAAAATCTGCCAGCAGCTGAGAAAGTTGCACCTTAAATTCTGTAGTGAAATACCATATTTGGGATGTAAAGTTTTGTGGAATGTGGGAAATTATAACCGATTTAAAAGTAAACTAAAGTGAAAAGTGTAGAAATTCAACTGCACTGTTTGCAGTTGTTCATCTTTTGCTTCAGAGAGAGTAATTGTTCAATACCAGCAGCCTATGGACATTCCTACAGTTTTAGTGCACAGAGGGACAAGGCAGCCATCTGTTTTAGGCTTAAAAGCTTGAGGAATGTGTCTTTTATGAATGTCATTATGTAAGTTAAAAATAAGTAGAGGAAGCAAATGTCAGACATAGCAAAACACAAACCTCATGGACAGCTTTCTTTATTCAGATAATTTTATTCTACCATCACACAGGAGCTGAGCAGGCACCAGGTGAAAAGTGATCAGGAGGGGGTAGTGTGAAGGACTAGTGAGAGATAAGGGAAGGGGAGAGCAAAGTGACAGGTTAGAGAAGAGCAGAGTGTGACATTGGAAAGGGCAGAAAGATGGCCTGGGAAGGAAGGAATTGACAAGATAGGAGAGCAATTAAAGGAGTAGTGAATATGTTAAAATAGATGGGGTTTGAGCCAAATTCCCAATTCCTGTACTTGGCAAGAAGGAGGAAAGTGACAAAAGTGACTAAGCCAGATTTTTAGATTTTCATGTGTTTGATTCTGTGCTGCTGCAAATAGCTGCCTTTTTCTTTTTGAGACCAAATTAACACAGTATCTTGATGGCATCCTTTCTGCTTTCTGCAATGCCTCTGCACAATCCCCACTTTCTCTGCTACCTGCTTGCAAGGACAGTCTCTCTCTTCCCCCAGCAATACTCTGTATTTGTGGGAAGCATGGAGGCAGCTCTACTCTGGCATTGCCTGCCTGGGGGTACACCTGGCACCTTCCTTCCCTCTGCAGCAGGCCAGACATCCCTCCTCAGCTGTGTTCCTGTCCTGGAGCTGTGTGCTCCCTGCTGTGAGGTTTGGACCCCTAGGATGAGGGCAGTAGTAGCCAAAGATGCCACTTTGCAGCAGCAAAGGTCCCTTTGGTGGGATACTGCACTGAGAGCAGGGAATTGTGGTGAGCTCTTGGGAAACAGCAGTCATTCAAACCCTTGTCCTGATGTGACATGAGAATTTGGAGCCATCACACCACCAAAAGAGCTTTCCCAGCTCACTTTTTCCCTGGGAAGTGCTGCAAAGGAGCCGTGATGTACAGGAGTTGGAGTTACAGTGTTCATGACAAGCTGGAGGGCAATTGGACTGGGTGTGCTGACAGAGTGGAAAAATACCTGCAGGTCACCTGTCTGGAATCCTGCCTGTGTGGGAGACTCAGTCAGTGCTCCCAGCCTGGCTGCTGGCTGAGCTCCCTTCAGCCCTGGGGCTGGAGAAGCAGCAGAAGCTGTGTCACACTTCACTCCCCAGTGTGTAACTCCTGAGGGAACATCATCAGCTGCTGTGACCAAGAGCAACTCGCTAGGAGCTCCTCAGATTTATGCTCTTGGGAAACAAATGACAGAAATAGGAAGGCAGAGGTTTATGATAACAGAAATTGCAAGGGCTTCCTTTGTCAGGCTGAGTTTTTAAGATAATTCTTGTTTACTGTCTTCATATCTGTATAACTGCTTTTTAACTCTTCCAAGCAGAGAAATCCAGACAAAGCCTGAGCCACAGTGATGCTATCAGCAAACTTTTTAAAGAGTAGAGAAACTGTGTAAGTAGTAGGCAGAGCCATGTTCATCTAAATCAATAACCTATGGAGAACTGCACTTCTTTGAAACACATTAATAAACATCCTTGAAGATTTAGGGACTAAAAGCCAAGAATTAGGAGGTCACAAAAACAATTGAGCTCTGTGTGTGTATATATATATATATATATATATATATATATATCAAACTGCTAATGACTTTTTAAAATAACTCATAATATTTAGTAGATGCATGTTGGCATTCCTATCAGTTGCCTGCATCACTTGATCTGAGTGCTTCTACAGCACTGATTAGCTGATAACAATATAATAAAGCTGTTTTCATACTTCTGTGGAGTCTTGATGTCTGCTCTTTTCCAAAATATTAGATTTTCCGGTCTGTTCTACTTTAAAAAACAGACTCCAGAGACTTACAAGAAACATAAGCAAATAAAAGTCATAATTTGCCAAACACAGAAAAATAGCATCTCTATATGTTTCAGAAGGTTTCAAACCATTTTCTGTCACCCAGGGTTTCTAAACATTGTTTCCTGTAGTTTTGCAAGTAATAAAGGGAATACAATAAGACTTAATAATAATAGAAGTGAGTCTCTTCTGGGTAATTACTTGAACAGAAGGCACTGTACATATCCTGATTTTTATGGTTTCCATCTTGCTAGAGGACACAGGCCAGCCAAGGGACTAGACTAGCTGAGATATTCTGCAACTTTCTGTTCTTGCATTATCTGAGCTATAGATAAGCAAAGTCCTTTTGCTCCCTGTCCATCTTTTGACTATTTTACACTCAAAATCTGTGCATCTTTACTTAGTACAGATAGGACATACACCTGTAGCTGCCTGGAACCTGATAACGTTCATGTTCTTTAGTCCCTCCATTAGTCTGAGTAGCCATGGACAGAACATAATTATAGACTGTCTTTTTCCATATTTGTTGACAGTTTCAGGAGGTTCTTTCTCTTGGGTCTCTTTCCAGAGATTTCAAAGAGAATTATCTGGTAACATGCCTCATTTGGTCTCTACTTTTAAAATCCCAAGGGCTGGGTGGCAAAGAATTTCCAGACACCATGACGAGCTTACTGAGGCACAGAGCAGCAAAGCATAACCCGAGAAAGGAGGGGACAGAGGGTATATCAACTTTATGCTGCCTTGGGGGCACTCCTGACCTCTTACAGACCACACTGCTGCCTCATAGATGGCAAGAACTCCTTGTTCTGCCCCTGCCCCCTCGCCTGCTGGTTCCAGAGCACAGCTCTTCGCTGACTAAGCAGCCCTTGTAATTGCTGATCTTTGTCATGGTCACCAGTCTGTCGTGTTCCGGTGTGCCTGCTCTGACTGGCTTCTTGCTCTGCAGTCAGTGCCACTGGAAATGAAAGATCTGGGATCTGATCACAGGAATTATCACAGTGATTCAAACTAGGTTATTAAGAGTACTTGCTAAAGCTATATTGTGTAGAAAGTCTAGTGATACCCACTTCTGCCATGAATATGCTCTGAAAAGTTCTTTGCCTTCTGAAAAGCTAGGAGGGCATTTCCTTTACTTCCTTTAATTTGGATGTGTTGTTTTGGTCTCTGCATGGTCCTTCCTTGATATATTGGTTTCTATCAATCCCAACACTGTTACATTCATATTCAGGTGTGTGACTAAGATTTTGTATGCGGTGTAGGTGGCAAGTCACACTGTGGTCTGTTGCAGTTCCCTGCTCTGCAAGTACAAGTCCTGTTTGCCTTTCCATCTTTGAAAGATTATTCCTTTTTTTCTAATGACTATCATATGATGATGGACATGTTTTCCTTCTTGATATCAAGAAATACTGGTTGCAGGAAAAGCCTTCTTTTTACTTTGATGTGATAATTATAAAAGCCCTTTCAAAGTCAAACATAAGCGCGTTTGGGTTGGTTCCACTGACTTGTGAATAAAATTGACTGCTGGTGGATCTATGTTCTTCCTACCCCATTTATGGTCAGGTTCTACATCAAAACTGAGATGAGACTTTACACAAGATTGTGATGGAAATGGTATGACCCTAATTCTTCTACCCATGTGTATATTCACAATAAAGGGTGAAAAGTAATTTTAAAAATCTTGCTTTAAAGTGTTTCTTCCTAGTTGAACCATTAGTAAAGGGTGGTGAAAGCAAGCAAGAGGTTTTGATTTATTTTTTTTAATTATTGCAATCAACACAGAATATTGGCAATTCTAAAATTTGTTCTGCTGGCTTATTTAGAAAAACAATTATCCAAAATTTTGTTGAAGTACTTCTCATTGTATACAATAGAATTGTTTACAAACTATGTATGTGCCCTCTCTGTTCTTCTAGGCACGTGTTCCACAAAGTCTGTGTGGATCCATGGCTCAGTGAGCACTGTACATGTCCAATGTGTAAACTGAACATTTTGAAGGCACTGGGAATTGTGGTAAGTGGATCTACTGCGAGCTCCTCTTCCTCTCATGTCTGAGACCCAGAACAGGAGGAATAATTGTAGGGGAGAGAGAGGGAATGGTGTTACAGCATCCTTACTCAGAAAGTGTTTGAGGTTTTTTACTAATTTCTTTGCTGCTGATTTGTTGTTCTTCCTTTCCTTAGTTGCTCGTTGAGAATATATTGTTGTATTTGTATTTAGAACAATTTCCTATCTACTGGAATTCTACTAGTTTCTCTAAAATCTTCCCTTTTCTCAACTCCTTTGAATACTTCCTTGTTAAATTTACTCTGTAAATCTCTTGGTTTTGTGGTCAGCTGTAGGCAGTCTTAAATTTGTTTGCACATTAAAAGTCACACCTTAGCTGAGTGGCTTCTGGGATCCGAGGACTGCTTTTGTTGACCAGTTCATAAAGGGATAGCAGTGAAAAACTTCAAAGAGGATTTTTTTAATCTTTCCCGTATGGGGAAAAAATCCTCAAGTGGGAGCGATGCTCTTTTCAGAAGGAAGAGAGACCATATGGAGAGACTGTCTAAAGTGGCTTTTGAATCAAGCCAGTGAGAATAATCAGGCCTCCATTTTTAGCTGTGTCAGTTGCAAATTTTTAAGAAATAGTTGCACTTACTTTGTGAGTGATCAGTTTTTGCAATTAATGACATACCTGGGTTTTTAGAAGAGGACACGGCAGAATTCAGAATATATTGTCATGGCTCATTGTGGTAAACCAGACAGGCACAGGCTGTGAAACAAGTGTGTTTGAGTCCCTTCCTTGAATCTTAATCCTTTTGAGTCCCTTCCTTGAATCTTAATCCTTTTTTTCTGCTTCTTCCTCCACCTCTTTAAGGTAGAAGTTATTAACTCGTGTTTCTCTCCCATGCGACCTCAGGGACAGCCACAGCGGCTGAAAAAGCGTGTGTGTGTGTGTGTGTGTGTGTGTGTGTGGTTCTACTTAATTTATAGGTTTGCTAAGTGCAGAATGTTCCCCCTGGTAATGTGGAGTCGGGTTTTTCCCCCCAGCCAAACGTGCCATGCACAGACAACGTAGCCTTTGACATGGAGAGGCTCACCCAGGGGCAGCCGGCCAGCCGGCGCGTCCACTTCGCCCCCGACAGCTCCCTCAGCCTGGAGCCCCTGCGCACCTCTGGGATGTCCCAGCTGCCACAGGACGGAGAGCTGACACCGAGGTCAGGGGAGATCAACATCGCAGTGACAAGTAAGTTCCCTCTGGCTCCCAGTGCCCTTCCGTGGCTTCCTGGAGCTCTGTGCTGCAGGGCCGTGGTGATGGATGTCCCCGCAGGGACAAAGGTGACCTCGGTGTCTCTGCAAGAGGCATATGCTCCTTATTGAAACCAATAACTCTAGGTAAGACAGTGCCAACACTTCCATTATTAATGGTATATCCATTTAGATCTGCATGTGAAGAGCCCTGGATGAACTAAAATGGCACCGAAATAACCTTCCTGAATTTGGTAACCAGGACAAGAGTCTGGGTTGCCAAAGCCATTATTTATCCTTTCAGAATACATTACGTGCAATAATTTACACAAATATAAATATTTGAGCTGATTACTATTTCTGCAGACATTTTTTCCCCTGAGAACATTGCTACTGGAACTCTGACGTCACTTAGCAGGTGTTTTTTCTTACAAAATTTGTGAATTAAAAAAAGCATTTGATGTACCAACATTTGAGTATTGTCCAAGTGTTTTATAACATCAGAAAACTGTTCCTGCGCTGCTTGCAAGCTCTTATCCATAAGAGCAGCATGGAAAATTTCCACTCACTGGATTTTACCTAGGGTTTTTAATGTGCAATAGCACTATAATGAATACAGTATGTGTAGAATTGCATCATTTTTCCATATGCTGTACAGTCTCAACTTGATGCATGAATGGTTGTTTTGCTGGCTGAATTGCAAAAATAGAATCCGTGCACATGTACAACAGTCTAATTTTCTCTTTGTATTTTGCTTATGTGCATCTGTGATCTAGATTTTGAACTTGGTGGCGCTGTTGTGACTGATGCACTCCATTTGGGTGTTTCTTTAGATGCTGTAGCAAAGTAAATGTCTCATTTAGAAAAATCTCATCTTATGAAAAACGTAGTCTGTATGTAGAAATGTCCTGATCTGAGAAGGGAAAATCCACATACGAAGTCTGGATTTTCTACAAAGCCGCTAAGTCACTTTGCCATCCAGTGTTTGACCTTTGGTTCACCTTGCACTCAGCTCTGTTGAACGAGGGCAGATCTGTTGCTGTGCTGCTCCCTTGTCACGGGTGGGAAACCTCTGTAGTTTTCACTTTTCACTGATTGGTTTTACAGAAGGTGTTTTTACCGTCTGTTCCCAACTGTAGTGCTGCTCGTGCACAGATGGGATGCCAGGGTAAAACAAGAAATAATCAGCAACAGTTCATTCTGACAATGTTTATAAAATAAAGCTTTAGAAAGGGCTGTTGAAATGTTTGGGTTTTATGGATGACACATGCATTCTTTGATGCATGAGAGTTAAACCAAAAGCCATATTCGACAACAGTGTTTGTATTCCAAACTGTTACTATATGCCAAATTGATTTTGGGGAGGGAGAACTCTGAATAGTGAACATTCTTTATAATAGACTTCTTTATACTATGTTTTATTTTGTTAATGGGTCTGTATGTCTACACTAATGTCGGAAGTTATTTTTCCATGTGTATTTCTGTCTATTAAATAGAAAATTCTAGTTATGTTTTACCGTTGGGCAAACTGTCCTGGGGTTTGTTGGGTTTTAAGTAACACTATAACATTTATTTGGGAGGGAGGGGTCGAAGACACAACTGAAGTGTGACAGTACATTGGGTGTGCTTACGTGAAGAGCCACATCTCACCAAATCTAACCCGACCCTGACAGTCTTTCTGACTTTGGGGGGTGGACAGAGTTTTCGTTACGTTTTCCCTTGATCCCGCATTTCACTTTACATTGTTAAGTAATCTTTCTTTATCACTAACCCTTGGGCTCAGCCAGGAAATGTTGTGCCATGCTTTTTTTCCGCACCTCTCTCCACTTCTTCTTTGCTAGCCTTCTCCCGTCAGTAACTCTGTGGCTTAACCTCCTTCTGCTTCACCTCCTGGGGCCAGTCATGGCTTAGAAGCCTCTTGCCTTCCACCAGTGGTGTTTGAGGGGAATATTGGCATCGCTTTGACATAAGCCTTCTCCCACGAGTGATTTCCTCCCTTTCCTTTGTCAACAGAAGAATGGTTTATTATTGCCAGTTTTGGCCTCCTCAGTGCCCTTACACTCTGCTACATGATCATCAAAGCCACAGCTAGCTTGAATGCTAATGAGTAAGTAAATATTCAGATGTTTCTGTGTATTTCTGGTGGGTGTGTGTCATGGACAACATTGGGGATACATACCAAGGGAATAGAGAAGGGGGAAAACACAGCTGTCAAGGAATCAAATTCCTTTCCTGCTTTTCTGAAATGCAAGTATGTCTGTTTACTGTAGGTTTCAGGGTAACATCCAGAGGCCCTCTTAATTTATATTTAGCTGGATTGTCTGACGAAATCTCCTTGCTAAGTGGAGACCTGAAACGGGGGAAATAGAGAATATTTTATGTTCAGTTTTTGATCAGTGGTCTAGGTAAACATTAGATGTCTGCTATTAAATTCCCATGTTCAAAATACACCTGGCAGAGCCAAAAAAACTACCAGCAGTTACCTTTGACAGTTTTGACCTCAATTTTATAGTCAAATTCATATTAAAAAAAAATAAAATCTGTATTCCTAGTTGGCACACTCTCAGCTAAGAAAAAACAAAGTGTTTAAACAGAAAACTACCTTTTTGCTCTTAGGAGAGGGAGAGATGAAAGCAATGAATGCAGTACTGTTTCTTTTTTAAATGAAGAGATACTTGCTTCCCTGCTTTCTTAATTTATACAGAACCCCCCAGCCTCCCTTCAGACAAGGTGGACAAGAAATTACCCTAGCACATGCCTTTCAGTCTCTTTTTTATAGTTCTGTGTGTGGGCAAGTATAAATCTATTCTGCAGATCTATTATCTAGGTACATCTAGCTATTCTCGTGTAGATGTATGGAATATCTGAGCTCATGATATATGTTTAATCATAATTTATTTATTTACTTGGGAAGGCAAAGTGTCAACATCTTTCTTTATCTCTGAACATCTTGACGCAGCTGAGTTTCCATTAATGTGTTGATCTCTCTACCAGAAGTGGGGTGAGATTCAAAGGCAGTCTGCTGTGCAGCCTGGAAATGTAGCTTTATAAAGATAATTTTCTTCCTTTTTTTTTGCTTGAGATAAGAGAAAGAAGGAGGTTTTTTACTTTTATTGCTATTTGGAAAGTATAAGGTGTCCTTCTCAGTAAGATGTAAACAATGTCTAATAGTCTCCAGTGTAAAATTTTAGACAGTCACAAGCTAATCATCTTCAGGAGGGGCCATAGCATTGGTCATCAGGGATCTTTACCACTAAGTTGCAAATCTTCCTTTCCTCCTCTTTTCACATGCTGATTCCAAAAAGGCTCCATGAAGAAAAGTTTTAGAACTTCAAATAGCCCTATCAAGTCTCCTGATTATTATTTTTTTTCCCCCATTTGTCAAAATCTTGAAATTGCATCCCTCAATCGGCAACTTGGCAGCAAAGCTGCAGCTGAACATAGTTCATCTGCCCAGAAGAGTAGCTTGGGAAAGCATGGAGCAGGAGGAGCTGTAAAACGGGAATGTCTGCATTTCCGGGCGCTTGCACGTCGTTAGGGAGGAGGAGGAGCTGCAGCCTTGTGGTGTCATCCAGATGTGGGCACCGATAGCAGCTGCATTCCTGCCTTGCCTTGCAACTCGTGGTTGCCTTTTGCTCAGTGGGATCTGGGTCTGTTTGTACTGGAAGGACAAGCTGCTTCACACTGGCAAGAGAGGTTGGGCCTCCAGCAAAGTGTTTTCACAGAGGGTGTGGTGGTACAAGGAGAGCACCTTTCCCGAGTGATAGGAATTGAAATGCGAGCTCATACGAGTGTATACTTGAGGCAGATTTAAGGCAACTCACGACCACAGAAACCAGAGCTGTCAAAAATCACTTATTTGGGTAAATGAGGTACCTTGCTGTAGCCTTTAACCTCAGCTCAGCTTCATCTGAATCCTTTGGGATCTGAGCAGCCTCCACAAGTGCTGCTGTGTTCGGCTACTCATTTCAGACAGTTTGAAATGACGCTAATGCTCAGATTTATTGTTTCATTGACACCTTGTGTTCCCAAGTGCCAGACAAAGCATTTTCTGTGCTGAATATCGTGCCAGATATATGGTAGCCCCTTCTCACTGCAATTTTTATTAAATGTCATAACAGCATATCTGCTTTTTATGCTGCTCTCCATTTAAAAAGCAATGCTGGCATACCCTGCCTTTGTTATGGTAGTGTTTCAGGAGGAAGCAGAGGAGTTTTTCTTATCAGAAAACAACAGCATCAAGAATGAGTTCATGTAATATGCTGATGCATGTAAAAGGTGCCAAATATTCTCCTTTAAAACTCACCTAAAACCATATCCTGTTCCTTTTTTTTCTATGTCCTTTCCTCAGCTTAAAGATAATTATTTAGACCAATAGTTCTGGTGTTGTGAGTATATACATATTTAACTGTGTATATGTATGTTTGTGTATATGTATATATACACAGGTGCATTTTTTAAATAGTTGTGATAAAAGTAAACATTGCCTCAGTGACAAGAGAATAAGGAACCAGCTGCTTTCTCTTGGTCTCAAAATATCCTTTCAGTATTACTGTTAAAAGATTTAGGCGGTGTTTGAAAGGAACAGAAGCAGCACATTTTGCCTTCCTGCTTAGGGAACAGTCAGAAATTACTGTATAACTGTGGGTTTCAGCCCAAAAAGCCCAGATATTGGATAGCACCACTTAGAGAAAGTTTTCAGTAGCAGATGAAGTGTCCTCGAAAGCTTAGAAGTGCTCAGACCTCTGGCTGTCCTGTAAGAATGACATGACAAATGCAGACCTCTCTTAATGCTCTGGCCTTGTATAATTAGTCACTTTTCATTAGCTTACTTTTACAGGATTTTTTTAAAAATTTTTTTTTATTTTTATTTTTTTTTAGTATTGGCAATATTAACTTTAACATAAATATTTTGTTCCTTTTTTTTTCTGCCCCGCAGAGCAGAATGGTATTGAAGAAACGCTTTCCGGCCGATTGCCTCGGAGAGAGACACCTATTTTTATGCATCATTTATCGATCATGCAGCACAAGCAATTATTTAGTACATTCTATTTTTTCATAAAATTTGCTGATGCCAAAGCTTTGTATTAAGGAAAAAGTGAAGAAATAAAAAAAAAAAACTTTAATTATGAAATCTTACTCTGTGAGAACTTCATTCTTCTTGGGCTTTCTGTGTTAGTACTCAAGTCTGAGAGGATTTTGTAAATTTTACAAGGTGCTTTATTCCCTTTGAATGATTTCATCATTGCAGTTCTCTGTTATTCTCCATTCATTTTGGGACACAGGAGTGGAAATCTCATGCAGTGCCGTCGTTATGATGCCACCTACCACTGAAGTGACTAACAAGTATTAGTAGCAATCATTTCATACCAACTTATTAGGGGAAAAAAAGCTGGGCCAAGCATTCTTGTGTAAGTCCATATAACGGACTTACCTTGACTCCAGCTGAGCATTAATTTGAAATAGGAACATTTTCTCAGTTTTTCCTCCTGTAATGCTCCCCTGTCGCACTGGGAGCACGGCAGTATAATTTTTGCCTTGAGGTCAGGCATTGCTGAAGGTTTGCAATGCTGTTGTCTCAAAATACAAATCATAAACCTTTTCTGTCTTTTACTTTCACCCCACCCTTCTTTTTGATAAAAGTGAAGCTGCTCTAAACCGCTTCTTCCTTCCTAATAACAAATGGAAACATTGCGTTTCCCCCGCTGTCGTATGTGAAACTTCCTTTCAGGGCTTGATGGGTTAGTTTTGATTCAAATTCAAATCATTTGATGTAGAAACTCTATGTAAGCATGTCCCTTCTTGCCATGGCTTCTTTACTGGTGAGGAGGCAGAGGGAAAACATCTCTCCTCGCTGTCCTCGCTCCGGCTGTTTCACACAAGCTGACTTATGCAAGCAGAGTGTGAGTAATTTCACAACAGTCAGTTAAAACACGGGGGTCTGAGTCCCAGCCAAATGTTAGTGCTTGAGTTTAATCAGATAGGTAGATGAAGGTAACAAGTCAGGAAGGAAAAAGTAATTGACAGAAGTTAAAGCCTATTCTGTGTTTGGTTGTTTTTGTTGTTCTGGGATCAAGATGTAGACATTCGAAACAGAATGCTTTCTAAATTAATTAGAGAGAAGCAATTTTACTGTAAGGTTTAATTTTTTTATGTACTGGGAACCAGGGGATTTAATTTAATTTTATTTTTATGTATAGGCACTTTTAGAAGTTAGGAACACAGCCAGATGCTGCATTAAAATTGTTTCTTAATTCTTATTTGTCCATCAGACTTCAGCTGAGAAGGCAGGTTTTATAATAAGAAATGAAATGTGTGATAGCTTCAGTGCATTTAATAGAATTCTTCTTCAGTGTGTCCTTGTGAAATTCTGAAAGAAATATGAAAACAATCAATAGAGCAGTAAGTGCCTTTTGAAAGACTGGAAAACCCCATTGGACTTCCTCATGGAAAGAAAAAAGCTTCAAACATACTGTGTCTGAGGACTGTCTGCTTTTAAAGTACAGTGTGTGTCAACTGAGTGTTGTTGCCAAAAATGGAGGAATGTGGTTAGAGCATGATTTATGTTACGGGCTATGATATATGTTTTTTTCACCCATCTCTCAACAGCAATAGTAGAACTGATAAGTTTGTGCTTGTCTCCTGAAAAAAATTCCTTAAGTGCTATTTAGTGCTGTTGGGAGGGATGTGCAGAGACAGCCTGAGCAGAGTCATGACCCAGCTGCAAAAGGCACCACAACAGCTCCAGTTCTTGTTTCTTCTACAGAACAGCAGCAGAAGGAGAAGTTGAGTGATATTTGGAATGGAAAGGCTGACAGGACTTTTTAGTGAATCTTCCTCTATAGAGGGAGATTCACATAGAGATTTAAATAACTCAGCACCATCTTTTCTAATTTTTTTTTGAGCCTCTAACAATTGTCTCAACAAAGTGTGAATAAAAACATAGACAATTTCTGCTAGGTTACTTCTAGATCAGGTGAACTATGACTATCTGTTAATGAAATAAATGTGTTCAAAGATGGACTTGATTTTTTTTTTACTCTGGATAGGCACAAGAAGGAAATTCCCAAAGTTTTTCATAGAATCACTTAGGTTGGAAAAACCCTCTAAGGTGATCAAGTGCAACCATTAACCCAGTGTTGCAAAACCCACCACTTTAAATGCCTCGATCCAGCCTGTCCAGATCCCTCTGTGGAGCCTTCCTGCCCTCCAGCAGATCAGCACTCACATCCACCCTGGTGTCACCTGCAAACATACTGAGAGTGCACTCAGTCACCTCGTCCAGATCATCCCTAAAGACGTTAAACAGGACTGGCCCCAGTACTGAGCCTGGGGGAACACCAGTGACTTGTCACCAACAGGGTTTAATTCCATTCCCCACCACTTTCTGAGCCCAGACATCCAGCCAGTTCTTAACCCAGTGAAGAGTGTACCTGTCCAAGCCAGTTTCTCCAGGACAATGCTGTGGGACACAGTGTCAAAGGCTTTACCAAGTACAGGTAGACACATCCACAGCCTTCCCCTCATCCACTAAACTCATCACCTTATTGTAGAAGCAGACCAGGTTAATCAAGCAGGACCTGCCTTTCCTAAACCTGTGCTGGCTGGGCCTGAGCCCCTGGTTGCCCTGTATGTGCTGTGTGATCACACTCAGCATGATCTGTCCCATGACCTTCCCTGGCACCAAGGTCAGGCTGTAGTTCCCCAGATCTCTCTTCCAGCCCTTCCTGTAGAGGGGTTTTTTGCTAAACCTCCAGTCAGCTGGGACCTCCCCAATTCACTGGGACTGCTGGTAAATGATGGAAAGTGGCTCAGTGAGCACTTCCACCAGCTCCCTCAGTGCCCTTGGATGGATCCCATCCGGCCCCATAGACTTGTGCGTGTCTGAGTGGTGTTAGCAGGTCACTGACCATTTCCATCTGCCCCGTTGGCCTTTTTCCAGTTCTTACCCACTCAACCCTCACCATCATTAAACTCCAGACAATCAAATCCCTAAGGCACAGGGCTACCCCAATGCCTCTCCTTGCCTATCCCTTCTGAAGAGCTTTCAGCCATCCATGGCAGCGCTCCAGTTGTGGCAGTCATCCCACCATGTCTCCACGATGGCAACCATGTCACAGTTTTCCTGATAAGCTGGCTTCAAGGAAACAGTGCTTTATGAATAATCCCACTCTGTTGTTCCTTAACTGAGAGGGTGTTTAAAACAGATCGTCTGAGACAGGGAGTGCTCTGATCAGATTCCCACAGTAAGAAGCTGTCATGCCAGAGGAGCTGTGGAGGGACTGCAGCTTGTGGCAGAAGATGGCCCTGATTAATGACTAAGGGCATTAAAATACTTTCAGATGGAAAGGGAACACCAGGTGATGCTTAGTCCTGATGCACCTGCAGTGCTGTGTCTCTTGAATTTTTGGCCTTGGTATTGTGCCCAGTTCTGTGGCATCCTTTGATAGGTATAAAGGTCAATTCCAGGGTAATATGATTATTTTCAGCCTCAACGCAAGTAATAGGAAAAGTTCTTTTAAAGTGTATAATGAAGAATAGTGGCAGAGAACACTGAAGGATTCATTTTCTTATATTAAAACTGCATGCAGCCTTCCCATTTGTTTTCCATACCTAAGGGGTAAATGTTGATCTTTCTTAGTAAGTGCAAAATAGGAAGAACAGACTCATGAGCTGAATTTGGAACTGCGGATGTTTGTACTTGTCCTTAAAATACATTTATTCGGTAAATTTATCAGCTGGACTGATGCCACATTTTTAAACAAACATTAGCAATTTTCTGCATTAAGAGGAGCGTGGCTGGGTCACTGTGCCCTGCTGACTCTGCTGCTCCAGCCGTGGGCTGTGGGCAGTGGTCCCGACCTGGTTAATGGAACACCTGAAGATTGAGTGCTGGAAAACACTGAGGCAGCAGCTGGATCCTCAGCCCCGGGCGGGCTGCACTGCATGAGAGAGGAGACATTTAGGAAAAGAAGGAGCAATGTGTCCCAGAAGTGGTATGGAAGCCAAGAGATGTCTATCTGCATGGAAACATGCAGCCTCCCTGGGAGTGGGTGGCTTGCTTTTCTTCTGCCAAGGACAAAAACATCACAGTAAAGAATTTTAGAAGTGTAAGATATACGCTACCTATTTCCAGATTAATATAAAATATTTTTTGTCAGATGACCTCTCAGCCTGTTGATTAAATCTCTCCCTCGAGTCTGCTGGAGTGGAAGTCTGGGTACACAGAGGAGATGATGGCCTGGGCTGTCTGCTTCCAAACCTGTGTTTGATTTCTGTGTAATAAAAACAAAAGCAACACCAAGCTTTTAGAAACCGCTTTGGTTTGTTTGAGGATTGGTTGTGTGTAGCATTGCAGCAGGTGGAGGAAAGGGAGGTGAAACATCCAATATCCAAGGCTTATTTCAACTGCAAGCTGAGACTCACTCGTCAAAAATTAAATTATCCTGACCCATAACACAATCTTGAAATCAGTTTTATCTGGTATAATTTCAAAGCAGGTTTGGGGTTTTTTGTTTGAATTATAAAATCACTGAGGTTGGAAAAGACCTCTAAGATCATCAAGTCCAGTTGTTGGAGTCCGACTATGATCATCTGGAAAGTCATAGTTCCAAGTTTATGTTCCCTCAAATACTCAACCCTTATTTATTTGTATTTGTTTATTTATTTATTTGAAACCTGGATATGTGCTCCTGGCAGAGTGAACGATTCAGTCCTATGCAGTGTAACTACTAATTTCACTTTGTTTCAGTTAACAACGAGATCAGAAATAAATTAATTTGCTTATGAGAACTTCTCCTTGTGAATTTTGGAGCGAGTGTGTGTACTCGCTTTTGGTGGTAAAAGAGCAGCAGATCTGTTGCCCAGCTCCAGTTTCTTGCTGTTTTGAGCAAGGATTTGGCCTGGGCACACAATCTCTGTGCAGCTCAGGAAGGAGTTTGCTGCAGACCCAGATGGCAGCTTGCTGGCACAGCATGCTGAAGTTTTCATGGAGTCCATCTACAGAGTCCCTGGCTCTCCCAGCCAGTGCTGCTGTGATTCCTCTGCTTTGATAAGTGCAAAATTCATCTTCGCTTTTGCTTTTACACAATCATACACATTTGATTATAACTCTAGTTTTTCATTTTTAATCATAATAAGGACTTACCTTTTGAGTTTTTTGAATCTGTGTCTTTTGGGGAAGGAGAAAAGGTGTTTTGGACAATAACAGCTGAATTCTTCCTTTCTCATATCTTCTGTAAGCTCTTTATTTTCAGAATGGCGTAGGCTGGGCTCAAAATTTGGCAAAGAAAGGGGGATTTAAGCTCCTAAGATCCGCCAGGGCTAAAACTGCAATCCCCTGAGGATCTTGCCTCACTGATGCCTGAAACTGGAGGCACCTTGGTTTGCTGAGTGCCTTCTTGATGAACTTGGAAGCTGTTCAGTTGCCTCCAGTTTGGCTCATGTAGCTGCCTGATGTATTGTAATCTAAGCAGCTCCCAGCTGTTCCCTCCTGGGATTGAGAAGCCAGGTAATGAAGTGCTTTGGCCAAGGGCCTGATCTGATAGATACTTTCAGAGAACCGTTTGTGTAGCAGGAGGGCTGGGCTTCTTGCAAAACACGTCTGTGGGTTCAGAGAGCCACGGGAACACCAGGCCACCAAGGAAAAAAATGGAATTCCATTCCCCACTTTATCAACAGCTGCTTGGTGCTTGGTTTGGGTATCACCAATGTTGGAGAAGAGGGTTGGGTAGCCTTTTGTTTAAGTGTAAGGAAATACGTAGGTGCCTTTTTCTAGAAGATGAGTCAAGTGGATGAAGGTTGCAGAGCTCTGGAGGGGGTCAGGCTTTCAGCAGCACTGATGGGATGATCCTTGGGGAGCCCCTCTCCCAGCCTGCCCATTCCTTTCAACCCCGTGCTGGAGTGCTCTGTGCTGGTGCACGGCACAGCGCTTCGGTGTCAACTGAAGGTTTCTGGGTTTCCCAAGGAAGCACATCCCTGCTTTACAAGGCTGTAAATCAACAGCCAGCACCAAGTGCAAAACTCCAGCCTGCCCCAGCCTTGCTCAGACTTGACCTGTTTTATCTGAAAGAGCTATTTGAGGTGGGCCTGTTCATGCATATGGAAAGCAGTTGCTTTGAATTGTCAGGGGATCAGATGAACAGAGGTGAACAGAGGTGAAATATTTCATATGGTTGTTACTGGTTTGCATTAAAGGGTGGCTATTTTTTCCTTGTGTACTGTGTTTGCAGCCAGCACCCGGGTATGAGGATGCTTTACTCAGTTCTTATGTTGTTTGTGTGTGTTCCTAATGTGGTTTTGTTCTACCTCTTGCAGGCAGTCACTTCTTCCATCGTAACTCTCTGTCCCCTCGAAGCCTGGTCTACGAGAGCGAGTTCTCAACCATCGAGCCTGCCTTGGACATGTATGACGAGAACAAAACCTGAAAGGAATCCATGCTCCTTCCTGGCCCTTTTTCCGTTTTTTTCATTTCTCATTCCTATTGTTGTGTACTCTTTCCATGGATCTCCTTTGTCTGAAGAAGAGCTGCTTTTTCCAGAACACGAACCCGCCTTCTCGATTGCACAGACGAAGACCAGCTGTGGTGGTTTCTGAGGTGGCATCTCTGAGCTGACAAAGAGTTGCGTGCAAGCAAGGTTGTCTGATGGAAGTTGCTGAGTAACAGCATGGGGAGCTGTGTCGGTCCAGCCGCGGCGACGCAGAAGAGGTTTTACGGTGGTCCTAAGAGTTTGTGTTGTACTGCAAATGCGTCTCTTAACACAGGCATCTGCTGTTTCCAGTTGTTTAATTGTCCACGTGGTTGGGCAATGTCAGAAAGGGAACTGGTTGTAGAGGAGATGGCCAGTGACTGGTAAAAGCACTCGTATATCTTGGTCAATCCATAACCTTACTGTGAAATATCCCCTTCTGAGAGGGACCTTTATAAGTGCATTGAGTTTCCTACAACCCACCTAACCCCGGACAGTGGCGAGCCAGTCTGACGTTCAAGCTGCAGAGAGGACCTGCGTTTGCAGAAAGATTTCAAGGAACTTGGTGCTTGGTTTTTTTTTCTCCAGTTTGATTGAAGCAGGAGAAAAATGGTGTACACAGAATATACTTTTGGTCCTTCCGTGTGCTCAAGTCAAGTGAGTCTCTTTCTGTAGAGAGGACGTTCACAGAACCAGCACTTGATCTACCTGATAACCATTAGACTTTTTGAAATATGCAGGAATCGAATTAGCTTTCTTTCTCACTTAACTTTTTTTTTGGGGGGGGGTTGGGGGGTAAAAAAAATCCACCGAATTTTTCACTGAGGTTTTTTAAAAGCCAGCATGTTGGCATTACACAGAGAAGAAAAGAGGTAAGCTTCTTATCCCATTCTCCCGTTGAGATCTGCAACAGTTATTTAACAAACGCATTCTCTGAGCTGTGCCCTTTCCCACTGACATCAATAACGGGAATGCAGAAAGCAGGAGAAGAAAGGAAAGCAGCTACTGCTTTGACACGCTGCAGGAAAAATCAATTTTTACCAGCATGTGACAAAAGTGGTGGGGAAATGGATATGGTTTGCAAGCTCCTGAGAGAACAATGCAGAAATGGAGAGCGAGTGTAACCTCTGGAGCTAAGTCATCCACGGCGTTCCTCAAAAGGCCCGATGTGGAGGAGCGAGCGCTTCTGCTCCACCTTTTCCTACCAGACAATGCATAGCTGTTAATGAATGTTTGGATTTTTCTCCATTGCAGTCTAAGTTACTGTAGGTGTAGAAATGCATTTTGTGTCCTTGTAATATGAAACACAGTTTCACCCTCTGTATAGGAATCTTGAGAAATCAATTATGCCAAAAAGAAAGGTAAGACATACTCTGCCGTGCTTTAATTTCACCTGCTTTTGCTATAAGCAGGGGAATTTCCTCTCCTTTATAATGTTTTTAATTGTATAGCAGTCTGCTTAACATATATCCTTTTCTGAGGTGTGGTTCAGCTGTGTCTTTAACATGGATGTTTAAGAGAAAAAAGAAAAACCCAGCTCTGTAAAATGAGGAAATGATCCTCTTTGCTGAGCTTCCTTTGACTTTTGTTGCTGTGCGTCAGCTTTATTTAATCTGATAATTCAAGAGTGGGTGGTGTGAAGTGTAGGGAGGTTTTTCTCATAATACCCACATTTATATTTACCGAATGCACTTTTATTGTCATTCAGCTCACTCCAGAAATGTGCTGAAGCCCCAGACTTCTTAAGAGCACAATTTTGACACCCACTTTCTCCTGCGAAGCAAAAGTGAAGGTCACAGAAAGTACCAGCAGTGGCTTAAGCAGCAGCAGGTCGTGGTCAGAATCCTTCCTCTGCTGGCAGATGTGCAAGAGGGGCAGTGACACAGCTCTTGACAGACAAGCCCAGGCAGAGCTCCCCAACCCGGCCTGGCTGAGCTGTGCTCAGGCCCGTACAGGGCTCGGGGGTGGCAGAGGGGCTGATTGAGCAACCCCTGTTTTCGTAATTACATCTGTGGGATCACAGCAGTTAAACACGTGAGAGCGGGCACCTTCCAAAAACAAATGCCTGAGAGAAAAATCACCAGCTCTCAAGGATGTTATAGGGCTTGTTTTTATCCGTGGTGGGCAGTCAGGGTCACAATAAACCCACAGACACCTGGCTGTTCCTGGTTGAATACAAAAATGTCTGGGTGTCTCTGCATGTGCCCAGTGGGGTTTGGGTAGGACAGCCTCTTGTATGGGGTGCTGATCCTCCACGCAAATCCTTCTCGTAGGGGCTGTCTCAGCCTGGCACAGGGATTTCCCCCAAGGCCACCAGGAAAGCACCAGGGCACGGGTTCGGCACAAAACCAAAACTGATGGTTTCTGAGCTCCAACCGAGCCCGTTCGCAGGGATATGCAGGATCCGTGCCAGGATATACAGAAAAGCTAGAAAAGGCATGGAAATTAAATTTAAAAGCTAGAAAGCACAAAGCCCCCAAAGACAAAGTAATAAATAATGTCATTTGTATTTTGTTAAATTTCCTTATTTCCAACTGAACATCTTGGTTTTAAGCGGGGGGAGGGCAGTTTTGCCTCTGTGGAGATCAGGGTCTGGCATAGTGATGTAAAAGTGGATTTGTGCTGTAGCATCTTGGATAAGGGAGCTGATGTTTATAATTGGCATCCTGGATTTGGAAAATCTTGCAACAGTGGAAAAAATAAAAGCTTGTTCAAGCAATTGATCCCTACGTGCTGTAGCAGACGTTCTCCCACTTAGTCATATTTAGCATGGGGAGGAGGCACCACAGCAACATGGGTGATTTTTTTCTGGGCTTTGCTGGTAAGTTTGAAGTTTTCCTTTTAATATTAATCAGTATATAAAAAAAGCTTGGTGAGCATCGTTGTTCTTGTTCTGCTGCAGTGGTGCTGTGTGTGGTTTGAGTCATTTCACAGAAATAAAACATAACAGCAATCTACCAAGGACTGTAAGTGCCAGTAACTTGGAAAAATCGTTTTTAAGGTTAAAAAAAAAAAGTGCTTTTCAACAGCAACATTCATTTTATGACTTCTACATATTAAAAAAAGCTTTTATCTCCAAGTGTTTCCCCAAACTATTTAAACCCCAACACTTCACCTTCTCTTTCCTGGCCTCTTGTTCTATGAAAGTTTTGCATGTTCCCATAAGACATTTGTAAAATCAAGATTTGCTTGTGTTCTTAGAGGATAATTGCCAGTAAAAAAAAAACCAGACTGTAAGTGTGCTATTTACCTATAATACAACATTAAATATTAAACTTGAAGCATGTTAAAATTTACCTAAAGACCCTCACAATTGCTCTCTCCAATGAGCTCCTGTGTTGGGATCTGCACTGTCCCCTTGCTCTAGGATGCTTGCCCTGGCACCTATAGGATGCTATAGGAATAGCCAGGTATCCTACATTAGCCAAAGAAAGACCAAAAAGAGTTCAATAAATGTGTTTAGGACTATGTTATGAGACTTTTACACATCTTCTGTTTTCTTTAAACACACTCATGTAAAATAGTGCAAAGGCTTGGGAGAGCCAAGAGCTTTTTACCAGGTACTGGAGAGCAGAGGAAATTCTTCAGGAAGCATGGGTCACACTGAGGCTTCAGAACTTGTTCAGTCCAATTTAGGTTTGAAGTAATGCCACAATCAGGTCATGAGCTGAAGGATGAAGGCACCAGGGTTGAGCTGAAGTTCAGGCAGCTCTGCAGCCTGATTACTGGCAAGTGAGTTGACTTAATTATTAAAAATATTTGGCATTTTGCTTAGCTAATAGTAGTTTGTTTTCTACAGCAGAGAAAATAGCTCACAAGCTGAGGCACAGTGGGGCAAATGAAAGAGCCACAGAGCTGCTGCCAGCCCTGCAGGGTGGGGAGAGAAAGGCAGGAGGACTCAGGGCAGGGACCTCAGGAAACACCTTCAACTTCCCAAGTGAAGCTTTTGCTCCTTTTTCACCCCTTGTTACACAGCCATACTTGACCTAATTTTCCAGTCTGAGCAGTGCAGAAGAGTGTATGATGTGCCATGACAGCTTGCATATGTGTTGTTATATTTAAAGATTTCTTCACTTTTTCCTTTCCCTGCTAGACTTGCTGCACCACAGGGCACTGCTCAGGGCAGCCTGAGCTCTGGCACACTCGGTGGAAACTGCTGAGCAGGGGAGGGAGTGAGGGAGGGAAAGATCCTCCAGTTAAGCTGATTGGGGGGAAATCAGGGGAAAGGTAGAGTGTACATCTGTACATTGGGGCTCATTTATGCTTTGTTTTCAATGGTTTTGAAATAATTAAGAGAAAAAGCAGTACTCCCTACCCCTTCTTTGTGGGATGCAGTGACAAGAGCAGGGCTGCAGATGGGATTTTGCTCCTGATGCAGAGCCATGGTGCTCTGTAACCCTCAGCTGGTGATGTCCTGAGCTGTTGGTCAAAGCCCCAACCTCACGGGGGCCTGGCAGGTTTACTTGGTGCTTGTAAAGTGCTTTAGGGAGAATAAATCCACTTGCATGAGCCTTTGCAAAGCCGCACTAATCAACACCTTGTTGTCTGTCAGTGGTTTGATCCTTTCATTACCCTACTCTTTTTAGAAGCCTGCAACATTCCCAAACATTCTTAATTCTCCCCAATTAATCTCTGCTATCCCACTCCATCAATTACTACCTGCTTCCTCCTCCTCTGGAGAGCCAGGTAAATGTCCCCATTGTGCAGGCACTGCCGTCCACCTGTTCTCCAGCATCTTCTTCATCACTGTGCCATCACATCACTGTGCCATCACCATGCCAGCCAGCCCCTCAGAGGAGATTCATTGCTCCAAACCAGCATCACGGTCTGTGGGAGCACAGAGGTTCCTGGTGGGTTGTTCTTGGCCAAAGCAGGCTCTGTGGGATTTGGGCTGTCCTTGTGGGATGCTTGTTCTGTGGATCCCTACATGGAGCATCCTTTCACTCCTCCACCCAGTAACCTCATGGAGATGCCCACATGAACAGAGATGGATGTGTAGGTTGTGCAATAACATCTGAATATTTATTCTTTTTTATGGCAATAATGTCCAGGGTCCCTGGGTTTGAGGGCCCCTGTGGTATAAGATGTTGCCCAAAAATAGGCCCTTTCCTAAAGAGTTAATAATTAAGTATTAATATTCCTGCAAAGTAAGAAGTACATAGTGTTTTATTGAAAGTTGAAGCTATTTAGAGCGATTTCAATGCCAGGCTGAGGTGTAACATGAGCTAGTGTCATACAGCTGGGAATGGGGTTTTGCAGCCCAAAAATCAACTGGACATGCATGTGAAAGCTCCCTCACTTCTGCTGGGCTATTCCTTTCTCTACGTCCATCTACAAGCCCCTCATGATCCAGGAGCTTTTTATTTTCCCTGAGCTCAGCTGTGTGCATTTGCTGTGCTGTTTGCCTTTTTTTTTTTTCTGCTGCTTCCCACATGCTCCAGGGCTCATTTTCACTTGGCTGTGATTTGACCTTCAGCTGCCCAAACCCCTTGGAGGGACAGGAGCCATTAATTCCCAGCAGAGCAGATCTGCTGGGCTGTGCTAAGGCCTGGACCACCAGATTTGCTCTGGATTCTCCCTTCCCCTGCCCAGTGCCTGTGTCTGTAACACACTCAAGTTGTCTCGGGCAGTAAGGGCTGTATCTGCCCACAACCTTCCCACGGACCTGGGCTGCACTGGGAAGGAGGATGGTACAGAAACCAGCTCAGCAGCTCAGCAACCCTCCCATGCTCCAGCACAGGAAAGTCTGGGCTTGAAAGTAAACTTGTTCTTTGCTGCTGTAAAGCCAGAATGTTTAATGGAGTGTTTGGGGCTGTTAAAGCAAAGCTCCTGTTTGCCCATTTGTGCAGTCCCAGCAAGGCAACATCCCAGCATGTTGCTTTCTGCTTTTGCTGGAAGGTGCTACATGAACAAGAAGCCTTCTCAGTTGCCACCACATCAGCAGGTAGACTTTTCCCAGCCTGTATGTCTGGGCTTACCTCCCAGCACTGGTAAGACCTGTCACACTGCTCCTATAAAGGGGAATAACCTTTTGGAGCAAACTGAGTGGTAGCATCGCTCTTCTGCTTGTCCCGTCAGCCCTGCTGCAGTTTGCAAGTAGCTGTTAAATACTAAAAGCTTCTCTGTATGACCATGCCTGTCCAGGATCACTTGCTCGAGGCCATGGCTAGCTATGCACTGAATCCATCAAAACGGGATCATTTTATCTCAGCAGAGAAGGGACACCCCAGCCTTTGGGCACAGGAGACTGCAGCAAACAACAACAACAACAANGGGGGGGGTTGGGGGGTAAAAAAAATCCACCGAATTTTTCACTGAGGTTTTTTAAAAGCCAGCATGTTGGCATTACACAGAGAAGAAAAGAGGTAAGCTTCTTATCCCATTCTCCCGTTGAGATCTGCAACAGTTATTTAACAAACGCATTCTCTGAGCTGTGCCCTTTCCCACTGACATCAATAACGGGAATGCAGAAAGCAGGAGAAGAAAGGAAAGCAGCTACTGCTTTGACACGCTGCAGGAAAAATCAATTTTTACCAGCATGTGACAAAAGTGGTGGGGAAATGGATATGGTTTGCAAGCTCCTGAGAGAACAATGCAGAAATGGAGAGCGAGTGTAACCTCTGGAGCTAAGTCATCCACGGCGTTCCTCAAAAGGCCCGATGTGGAGGAGCGAGCGCTTCTGCTCCACCTTTTCCTACCAGACAATGCATAGCTGTTAATGAATGTTTGGATTTTTCTCCATTGCAGTCTAAGTTACTGTAGGTGTAGAAATGCATTTTGTGTCCTTGTAATATGAAACACAGTTTCACCCTCTGTATAGGAATCTTGAGAAATCAATTATGCCAAAAAGAAAGGTAAGACATACTCTGCCGTGCTTTAATTTCACCTGCTTTTGCTATAAGCAGGGGAATTTCCTCTCCTTTATAATGTTTTTAATTGTATAGCAGTCTGCTTAACATATATCCTTTTCTGAGGTGTGGTTCAGCTGTGTCTTTAACATGGATGTTTAAGAGAAAAAAGAAAAACCCAGCTCTGTAAAATGAGGAAATGATCCTCTTTGCTGAGCTTCCTTTGACTTTTGTTGCTGTGCGTCAGCTTTATTTAATCTGATAATTCAAGAGTGGGTGGTGTGAAGTGTAGGGAGGTTTTTCTCATAATACCCACATTTATATTTACCGAATGCACTTTTATTGTCATTCAGCTCACTCCAGAAATGTGCTGAAGCCCCAGACTTCTTAAGAGCACAATTTTGACACCCACTTTCTCCTGCGAAGCAAAAGTGAAGGTCACAGAAAGTACCAGCAGTGGCTTAAGCAGCAGCAGGTCGTGGTCAGAATCCTTCCTCTGCTGGCAGATGTGCAAGAGGGGCAGTGACACAGCTCTTGACAGACAAGCCCAGGCAGAGCTCCCCAACCCGGCCTGGCTGAGCTGTGCTCAGGCCCGTACAGGGCTCGGGGGTGGCAGAGGGGCTGATTGAGCAACCCCTGTTTTCGTAATTACATCTGTGGGATCACAGCAGTTAAACACGTGAGAGCGGGCACCTTCCAAAAACAAATGCCTGAGAGAAAAATCACCAGCTCTCAAGGATGTTATAGGGCTTGTTTTTATCCGTGGTGGGCAGTCAGGGTCACAATAAACCCACAGACACCTGGCTGTTCCTGGTTGAATACAAAAATGTCTGGGTGTCTCTGCATGTGCCCAGTGGGGTTTGGGTAGGACAGCCTCTTGTATGGGGTGCTGATCCTCCACGCAAATCCTTCTCGTAGGGGCTGTCTCAGCCTGGCACAGGGATTTCCCCCAAGGCCACCAGGAAAGCACCAGGGCACGGGTTCGGCACAAAACCAAAACTGATGGTTTCTGAGCTCCAACCGAGCCCGTTCGCAGGGATATGCAGGATCCGTGCCAGGATATACAGAAAAGCTAGAAAAGGCATGGAAATTAAATTTAAAAGCTAGAAAGCACAAAGCCCCCAAAGACAAAGTAATAAATAATGTCATTTGTATTTTGTTAAATTTCCTTATTTCCAACTGAACATCTTGGTTTTAAGCGGGGGGAGGGCAGTTTTGCCTCTGTGGAGATCAGGGTCTGGCATAGTGATGTAAAAGTGGATTTGTGCTGTAGCATCTTGGATAAGGGAGCTGATGTTTATAATTGGCATCCTGGATTTGGAAAATCTTGCAACAGTGGAAAAAATAAAAGCTTGTTCAAGCAATTGATCCCTACGTGCTGTAGCAGACGTTCTCCCACTTAGTCATATTTAGCATGGGGAGGAGGCACCACAGCAACATGGGTGATTTTTTTCTGGGCTTTGCTGGTAAGTTTGAAGTTTTCCTTTTAATATTAATCAGTATATAAAAAAAGCTTGGTGAGCATCGTTGTTCTTGTTCTGCTGCAGTGGTGCTGTGTGTGGTTTGAGTCATTTCACAGAAATAAAACATAACAGCAATCTACCAAGGACTGTAAGTGCCAGTAACTTGGAAAAATCGTTTTTAAGGTTAAAAAAAAAAAGTGCTTTTCAACAGCAACATTCATTTTATGACTTCTACATATTAAAAAAAGCTTTTATCTCCAAGTGTTTCCCCAAACTATTTAAACCCCAACACTTCACCTTCTCTTTCCTGGCCTCTTGTTCTATGAAAGTTTTGCATGTTCCCATAAGACATTTGTAAAATCAAGATTTGCTTGTGTTCTTAGAGGATAATTGCCAGTAAAAAAAAAACCAGACTGTAAGTGTGCTATTTACCTATAATACAACATTAAATATTAAACTTGAAGCATGTTAAAATTTACCTAAAGACCCTCACAATTGCTCTCTCCAATGAGCTCCTGTGTTGGGATCTGCACTGTCCCCTTGCTCTAGGATGCTTGCCCTGGCACCTATAGGATGCTATAGGAATAGCCAGGTATCCTACATTAGCCAAAGAAAGACCAAAAAGAGTTCAATAAATGTGTTTAGGACTATGTTATGAGACTTCTGTTTTCTTTAAACACACTCATGTAAAATAGTGCAAAGGCTTGGGAGAGCCAAGAGCTTTTTACCAGGTACTGGAGAGCAGAGGAAATTCTTCAGGAAGCATGGGTCACACTGAGGCTTCAGAACTTGTTCAGTCCAATTTAGGTTTGAAGTAATGCCACAATCAGGTCATGAGCTGAAGGATGAAGGCACCAGGGTTGAGCTGAAGTTCAGGCAGCTCTGCAGCCTGATTACTGGCAAGTGAGTTGACTTAATTATTAAAAATATTTGGCATTTTGCTTAGCTAATAGTAGTTTGTTTTCTACAGCAGAGAAAATAGCTCACAAGCTGAGGCACAGTGGGGCAAATGAAAGAGCCACAGAGCTGCTGCCAGCCCTGCAGGGTGGGGAGAGAAAGGCAGGAGGACTCAGGGCAGGGACCTCAGGAAACACCTTCAACTTCCCAAGTGAAGCTTTTGCTCCTTTTTCACCCCTTGTTACACAGCCATACTTGACCTAATTTTCCAGTCTGAGCAGTGCAGAAGAGTGTATGATGTGCCATGACAGCTTGCATATGTGTTGTTATATTTAAAGATTTCTTCACTTTTTCCTTTCCCTGCTAGACTTGCTGCACCACAGGGCACTGCTCAGGGCAGCCTGAGCTCTGGCACACTCGGTGGAAACTGCTGAGCAGGGGAGGGAGTGAGGGAGGGAAAGATCCTCCAGTTAAGCTGATTGGGGGGAAATCAGGGGAAAGGTAGAGTGTACATCTGTACATTGGGGCTCATTTATGCTTTGTTTTCAATGGTTTTGAAATAATTAAGAGAAAAAGCAGTACTCCCTACCCCTTCTTTGTGGGATGCAGTGACAAGAGCAGGGCTGCAGATGGGATTTTGCTCCTGATGCAGAGCCATGGTGCTCTGTAACCCTCAGCTGGTGATGTCCTGAGCTGTTGGTCAAAGCCCCAACCTCACGGGGGCCTGGCAGGTTTACTTGGTGCTTGTAAAGTGCTTTAGGGAGAATAAATCCACTTGCATGAGCCTTTGCAAAGCCGCACTAATCAACACCTTGTTGTCTGTCAGTGGTTTGATCCTTTCATTACCCTACTCTTTTTAGAAGCCTGCAACATTCCCAAACATTCTTAATTCTCCCCAATTAATCTCTGCTATCCCACTCCATCAATTACTACCTGCTTCCTCCTCCTCTGGAGAGCCAGGTAAATGTCCCCATTGTGCAGGCACTGCCGTCCACCTGTTCTCCAGCATCTTCTTCATCACTGTGCCATCACATCACTGTGCCATCACCATGCCAGCCAGCCCCTCAGAGGAGATTCATTGCTCCAAACCAGCATCACGGTCTGTGGGAGCACAGAGGTTCCTGGTGGGTTGTTCTTGGCCAAAGCAGGCTCTGTGGGATTTGGGCTGTCCTTGTGGGATGCTTGTTCTGTGGATCCCTACATGGAGCATCCTTTCACTCCTCCACCCAGTAACCTCATGGAGATGCCCACATGAACAGAGATGGATGTGTAGGTTGTGCAATAACATCTGAATATTTATTCTTTTTTATGGCAATAATGTCCAGGGTCCCTGGGTTTGAGGGCCCCTGTGGTATAAGATGTTGCCCAAAAATAGGCCCTTTCCTAAAGAGTTAATAATTAAGTATTAATATTCCTGCAAAGTAAGAAGTACATAGTGTTTTATTGAAAGTTGAAGCTATTTAGAGCGATTTCAATGCCAGGCTGAGGTGTAACATGAGCTAGTGTCATACAGCTGGGAATGGGGTTTTGCAGCCCAAAAATCAACTGGACATGCATGTGAAAGCTCCCTCACTTCTGCTGGGCTATTCCTTTCTCTACGTCCATCTACAAGCCCCTCATGATCCAGGAGCTTTTTATTTTCCCTGAGCTCAGCTGTGTGCATTTGCTGTGCTGTTTGCCTTTTTTTTTTTTCTGCTGCTTCCCACATGCTCCAGGGCTCATTTTCACTTGGCTGTGATTTGACCTTCAGCTGCCCAAACCCCTTGGAGGGACAGGAGCCATTAATTCCCAGCAGAGCAGATCTGCTGGGCTGTGCTAAGGCCTGGACCACCAGATTTGCTCTGGATTCTCCCTTCCCCTGCCCAGTGCCTGTGTCTGTAACACACTCAAGTTGTCTCGGGCAGTAAGGGCTGTATCTGCCCACAACCTTCCCACGGACCTGGGCTGCACTGGGAAGGAGGATGGTACAGAAACCAGCTCAGCAGCTCAGCAACCCTCCCATGCTCCAGCACAGGAAAGTCTGGGCTTGAAAGTAAACTTGTTCTTTGCTGCTGTAAAGCCAGA